AAATAAACTTCAAGAAGTGTCCCTTGTCTAAGCTCGCAGTTGTGGAAGCGTGTGGGCAGGAGAGACTTGCTTTAATTGGGGAAACCTAGGAGCATCTTAGAGCAGGGAGGTTGGCCTGCAAAGGGCAGAAGGCCCCATGCACAGGGAATACAGTCATGTACTGCATAACCACGATGGACCACATGTAGTGCAGTGGTCCTGTAAGATTAGAATGCTGTATTTTTCCTGCACCTTTTCTGTGTTTAGATGTGTTTAGATACACAGATGCTTAGCACTGTGTTATAGTTGCCTGCAATATTCAGTACCGTACCCAGATTTGTAGCCTGGGGGCAATAGGCTAGACTGTGGTGGATTGGTGGTCAGAGCGGTGGGAAAAACTATAGGGAAAGGACGCAAACTTTCTGAAAAGTTGGAAGGTTCTGCAGAGCCCCTGGGGGGAGAATAGCTGAAGGCAGCTGTTCTGTAACCCTGAGACTGAGGGGAAGGAGTAGGTCCAAGGGAATATAGGGGAATCTATCGTAAACAGGCTTGTTTACTTACGTTGACCGGGAACTGACCTTTGATCATCTGTGTGCCTGAAGTTCCATGAAAAGGGAACAATTAATGTTAAATACCTACAGGTTGTGTTTGCTCCAGACTTTTGGCATTATGCCTGCACTGAATAAAAGCTAGCAGCTCCAGCTTCTCTGGGCTGCTGTCTGGCCACTAGAGCCAGGAAGTCACCTAGCTGCTCTTATACTGCATACTTGTGTCTGAGTACTTATTTCATCCGTCGGCCAGGATCTGTGTGACAGACCTGGCACTAGACCACATCCTCCAGGTGTGGAGCAGAGCTGTTGTCTAGATGTGTGTAAGTTCACTTTAGGATGTACTCACCATGATGAAGTCACCTGCTGATTACTTAGTGCCAAGACAAGGGGGGAAAGGTGCCTGGTATGTTCAGTAGAGCTCTGCCAGCTGGGAGAAGGTGAGGTTTGAGTGAAGTATGTGTGAGTGTGAGTGTATTTGGGTGAATCTGAATGTACATGAGTGTGAGAGAGTGTGTGTGTGTGTATGTGTATTGAAATCCTCCAGCCCAGCAAGGGAGGAGATGGCCAGGGAGCACTTTCAGGACTGTGCCAATGTCTAGGACCTTAGCCTGCATTGCATACCCCAAAGGGCCTTTCTGAACAGAGGAGTTGCCATGGCCGTGGTGCAGTAGGGAAATGGGTAAAGGCAGGGCCATTTGTGAGAAGACTGGGCCAGGCTCTGCTGAGGCATGTGCAGGGCAAGCAGGGGGCTGGGAGCCTCAGGTGGAAGCTGGTCTCCCATCAGGACAGAGATCTGGTCCCTGTCCTAGTCCTTGCCACCCCTGCCCAGGGGCTTACTCTTCTGTGCTGGTACATGTGCCAGCTCACTGGCATTGGTGCCCAGACCAGACTGTGATTCTCTGTGGTGGCAGCAGTCATCTTTCTGCTCACTGTGGGATCTGGGAGTCTCAAGGGGTGCCTGATGTTTAGAGGGGCCAGAAAAAGAACAGCATGCTGGGAGACTGATGCTGCCACTTGCAGCGATGAGGAGAAAGGTGACGCGGCGCTGACTTGGCCCAGTGCGAAGGATCTTAGCGTCCTGGCAGGGACCCACCACCCATGGCAAGGACCAAACCAGCAGGAGGCCAGACCCATCCTGACGTGAGTCCTGGGCAGCATGCTCCATTAGGGTATGGCGGGCCAGGCCACAGAAGATGGCAGGAACACTGGAGTCAAAGAGTGGCTCATGCAGCAAAGAAGTGTTGGGAAGGCTCAGGGTACAATTTGGAAAGTTAGGAGACTGCGGGAAGTGGGCCCTCCTGTGAGGTGGTGGGTACTCCTTCCATGCAGGAGGCACTTATTGCTGAGTCATTGAGCCCCTTTCGGTTCCCTGAGTCTCGGGTGACTGCTCTCCCATGCTCTCCAGGGAGACCGCTGATGGGTCTGAGAGAGGAAACAGATGGAACAGGATGGAACTGTTCTTTGAGATGCCCTGGAGAAGTGATCAGGGGACACAGGTCAGCAGCTGGGAGAGCTGCTTGAAGGCAGAGGCTACTTTTGCTCTTAAGCAGCATTTTCAGGAAGAAGGGCTGGGATCATCAGCTCTCCGTCTGCCTGAACCCTGTTCCAGTTCCACCCCACCTGTCCTCTATGTGGCTGCACATGACCTTCCTGGAACCCTTTCCTACGCGCATGCCCCTCATTCCCTCCAGGACCCAGCTCCCCTGGTGTTACCTCTGGTGGAGCCTCCTCTTTTACTCTCTGTTGCAGGCTGCAGGGTTGCACAGCATTCTAGCGGTGGGGGCAGAACTCAAATCCATGTCCGCTTGGCAGTGCTGTTGACCTCCACATGGGACAGCGTCTCTTAATGAAACAAGATCGGAGAACAGAACCAATAGGTGTAGGTGGAGCTGGGCAGTCTCTCCTGGAGACCTTTGGGGTCAGCGTAGTCATGCATCCTCCCAGGCCTGTGGATCAGGACGGGAAGCCGGTTGTAGTGATCTTTATTCTTCCACAATTTCATTTCTGGAATGGTGAGCTCAGTGGCTCACACCTGTAAAGGGCTGATCAGGGTGGTCTATATTCCCATTCAGCAGAAGAAAGAAATTACTGGTGTCTGTGGCAGAGAAGAACATCTAAGTGTTGGAAAGGGGAAGCTAGCTCATATTTTGGGTTTTAAAAGAGTTTATTATTTGTGAACTACTCCTGTGATAAAGGATAGGAAAAGGTAGACTTGATCTGCAATTCTTGGTCATTCTGCCTTTGGGTTTGGTGATATAGGGGAAGGATATTTGCTGCTGCTTCAAAGCCATATTTTCAAGATGCAGGTGTAATTTGTGAAGATTATCACACATGGCAGGGTATTACACAGAAGGAGGGAAAAAATGAAGAACTGGCTTATTCTGAGGTAATGTGTCTCAGGTCAGGGACGGTGTCCACTTTTACTTCTGAAATGTCATTTCTGAAGAACTTGGAAATGTTTGCTTCTCTACTTGTGATGTTCCTGCCTAATCAGTTTGTTTCAACTATTTTCTCCTCTTTTTTTTTTCTTATGATAGTCAAGGGGCTCTGAGAAATACTTCTTTTTTATATTTCAGAGCCTTCTCTTTGTTCTCTACATCTCAGTGTCTAATAAGCCAAGAAAAGTTGTCACCATGAATTTATGAACCTGCAACATTACAAATGTATCTTTTGAGGCTATTGAACATGAGAAGTTGTGGATGCCCAAACTCCCTGTTAGAGGTGGGATCAGGTCCTTGGATATCAGTGAGGAAAGAGACAGTTATACTGTTTAGTTTCCGTTACCTCTATGCAAAGCAAATTATAAAAATACAACTTTAATGAGAATGGCCTTTATAGCCCAGGAAAACTCAGTGCTGAATAAGAAATAATTGGAGGCCAGGTGTGGTGGCTCACACCTGTAATCCCAGCACTTTGGGAGGCTGAGGTGGGCGGATCACCTGAGGTCAGGAGTTTAAGACCAACCTGGCCAATATGGTGAAACCTCATCTCTACAAAAATACAAAAATTAGCCAGTTGTGATGGTGAGTGCCTGTACTCCCAGCTGCTCAGGAGGCTGAGGTAGGAGAATCTCTCGAACTCAGGAGGCAGAAGTTGCAGTGAGCCAAGATCGCACCATTGCACTCCAGCCTGGATGACAGAGTGAGACTCCATCTCAAAAACCAAAAATAATTAGAAGAGGCTGCCTCTCTAGGGTGCTAAAAATAAACTTATTTATAGATACCACTAGAGATTACAGAACGTGAAATATCTGTAGCTTAAACTTTGCTTAAAACTGATGTTTCTTTATGACTAGACTGAGACTACGTTGACTCTTTTTGGGTTAATAATAGCACAGTAGTGTTGTATCCTCCTGTGTGAATCAGCACGTGACACAAATTTCTTTTATTATAGTGATGTGAATTGTATTCACTTGGTGAACATGCTCTCTGACAGATTTTTTTTCCACTCTAGAGTTAATTATTTTTCTTTTTATTATTAGTAAATACCTTGGGAGATTTATCAACTAATGTGCAAAAAAGAAAAAAAAAGCCAGATTAAACCAAATTTCATCTGATAGCTCTTTTTAGATTCTTTTGGCATATATCTTGCTATAAAAAATAAAGACTCTAATTTTTTTTTACTGGCCCAATAAACTGAAAACCTAGGCTATGCCACTTACTAGATTTTTGATAATATATTCTCCTTGGACCAGAAGCAATGACACCACTGGCAAACTTGTTAGAAATTCAGAAACTCAAGCTTCATTCTAAATCTCCAGAGTCAAAGTCTGCATTTTAACAAGAGTGCCTGTTCATTGTTGTACTCAATAAGATTTGAGAAGTATATTTCTAAATAACAATGAAGTTTTCATTAATTAGCTATAGACAACCTATCTTGTATTATATAAATACAGCGTTCAAAAATGTACATGTCTGTGTTGGTGCCCTTCATTTTATACTATACTATCAAGAAAAGTACTTGTATATACACTGGTTTTGTGGATGTTATATATCAGAGTTAAAGAGTACATTAGAGAATATTCCTGTGCTAGAAAGTATCTTATTGGGCTGGGCATGGTGGTTCACACCTGTAATCCCAGCACTTTGGGAGGCCAAGGTGGGTGGATCACTTGAAATCAGAAGTTCGAGACTAGCCAGACCAACATAGTAAAACCCCATCTCTAATAAAAATACAAAATTAGCCAGGCATGGTGGTGTATGCCTGTACTCCCAGCTAGTTGGGAGGCTGAGGCAGGAGAATCACTTGAACCCAGGAGGCAGGGGTTGCAGTGAGCTGAGATCATGCCATTGCACTCCAGCCTGGGCACCAAGAACAAAATTCTGTCTTAAAAGAAAGAAAGAAACGATCTTATTGGATAATTCCAGTCACTCACATAAGTCAGAACCAGTTCTCTTTACTCGCAGTTTACATAATGTAAAATCGAGAATTCTTTCTATGACCACTTGCTAAATATGTTATATTTTTCAGGGAGTGTTGACATTCAGGGATGTGGCCATAGAATTCTCTCCAGAAGAGTGGGAATGCCTTGATTCTGCCCAGCAGCATTTGTATAGGGATGTGATGTTACAGAACTACAGAAACCTGGTGTTCCTGGGTGAGAATAAGTTCAATATACAATTCACCTTCCACACAATTTGTTTTCTTCTGTTTTCTGGGGGTTCTGCTTTGCATGAATGAGTTTCAGAATACTACTTAAGAAAAAAATAGAACAGTATCTGTTGAGGTAGAAGATAAATTTTTCAAGATGTTTCATCTTAATAATCTTTCCCTTTTTTGAGCTGATTTGTATATGTCAGTGTAAATTAGTGGTAATACCAGAAATTTAGTGGCATAAAGTATTGTTGCCCACACCTTAAAATCAAATTTCACCACCAATTTGTCATTAAGTATTACTGAATAGTAGAGCAATGAACCCAAAAATTCGAAATACTTTCTAAATATTCTAAAGTTCCTATTAGGAAATAGTATATTGAGATTAATTTTCTAGAATCTTCTATAATATTCTATCTTGTATACTGAGCACAGTACTAGATTGGTAATTAGACAGTTCTAGCAAGAGTCATGTTCTTTTTTTAATAAAACAGGTCTTGCTGTCACCAAGCCTGACTTGATCACCCATCTGGAACAAGAAAAAGAGCTCTGGAATGTGGAGAGACAGGAAACAGTAGCCAAATACCCAGGTAAGTGGGAGCGAGTGAGGCAAATGACACAAATGAGAGTTCCCTATGTCAAGGAGGGAGCCAGACTGAAACATGGTTTGAGAGGCTCTCCACCAATGAAATAGCTTCTGAGTAACCTGCATTTCTTTCTCTTGCTTTCAATCAGGGCATCTCATGATATGATAGTCTCACTCTCATTAACTTTCTAAGCACTGTACTTCCCCTTCAGTTATGGTTTTTGTTTGTTTGCTTGTTTTTTAGTTTATAGTGATAGTTTTACACATAACTTATTGTGTGATCTGATTGCACTTCCATTGCTTTGGGAGAAATAGTAATATCTGTATTTTGAGAAACGATTTTAAACAATTTTTAAGGTTGGTTTTGGATAATGTCTAAAATACATGAGAGTTTTGGTGATATTGGGATTTGGTTCAGAAATCCCAGGAACACCACAAAAAGATGAATGTTTCTGCTTTATAATTTTCTATCCTACAGGGGTTTCAAATGGGATTTTATAGAAATGTGTAATAAGTAATTTTACAAAACACTAAGCATCTCCCTAAGTATAAGAAAGTGTAAAATTATGTTACTTGAAAATGTTATACTTTTTATATAAACTAATATTGGTAAATTAAACTACGTCCCCAAAATACCTCAACTGTGATATAGTTAGTTCAGTGTATCAGCTTCATACATTTATCAAACAGGCTATGCCATTGAGGAGCTTAACATATTGTTAAGCATATATTAAACTCTTCATTTTAACTTTATTTTTAAATGACTGTAATTTTACAATATTGTTTTTGGATGAGGCTTACTGGGACTGTGTCATTCATATATATATATATATATGTTTGTGTGTATACATGCAAGTACATATATGTACAAGTGTATATATGTAGGTATTTGTAACATGTGGATCTTTTCACAAATAATAACCGAATATCTATATTTATTGTACACAATGTATGTATATACATTGTGTACAATAAATACAATTTTATATGTATATACATAGTGAGATGGTTAGTACAATCAAATTAATGAACAAACATATCTGTCACCTTACATAGTTACCTTTTGTGTAGTGAGAACAAATCAGATCTGTAAGCAAATTTTCAGCATACATAAACTATAGTGATAAAGCTATATTAGGCCACAATAACTTGTTTTATAATTAGTAATTCATACCATTTGAACAACATCTCTCATTTTCCCTGCCTCCAGCCAGGCCCTACCATCCATCTTTATACTCTCTGCTTCTAGGAGTTCAACATTTTTATTTTCTTTGTAAAAGTAGATCATATAGTATTTGTCTTTCTGTGTCTGGCATATTTCACTTAGCATAATGTTATCTGGGTCTATACATGTTGTCAAAATGGAAAGGTTTTATTATTTTTTAGGGATGAATAATAATCTATTTAGTGTATATAGCATGTTTTCTTTACTCAGTTAGTATCCAGAAACATTTTAGGTTTGTTTCATATCTTGGCAATTGTCAATAATGATTCAAGAAACATGGAGGTGCAGATGTTTATTTGAAATACTAAATTTACTATATATGCAAAAATGGGATAGCTGGATTGTATAGTAGTACTGTTAAATTTTTTTAAAGAACCTTTATAGTGGTTTTCATCATGACACTAAAACATTGCAAGTCTCCAGGAATGTACAGCATTTTAAGAAAATATACTTGTTCATACCTGTTATAACTTTTATTTTTGATAGTAGCAATTCTAATGTGTGTGAAGTAATATCTCACCATGGTTTTAATTTGCAACTGCCAGATTGGTGATACTGAGCACCTTTCTCTATGCCTGTTGGCCAATTGTATGTTTTCATTGAAAATCATCTATATAGTCTTTGGCTTATTTTTCAATCTTGTTATTATTATTACAATTATTATTATAATTTTTGCCTTTGATTCATGTGAGTTTCTTAAATGTTTTGGATACTAACAACTTAACCGGATATAGTTTTCGTATTTTATTGTTCCCCAGGTGGTGCAGAAGCTTTTTAGTTTCATGCAGTCCAACTCATTTTTATTTGCTTTAATTGCACTTTTGCTGTTGTATCCAGAAGTTAATTTTCCAGACCAATATTAAAGTTTCTTCATGTGTTTTCTTTAAAAAATTTTAGGGAATTATGTCTTACATTAGAGTATTTTGTATTTAGTTAATTTTCAAATATAGTGTCAGAAAAATGTTCTAATTTTATTTTTTACATGTGGGTATTTTTCCCAGAAGCAAGTATGGAAGAGACTATATTTTCTGCAGTGCATATTCTCAGTGCCTTACTGTTAAGGATAAGTAGATCTTATATAGATGGATTTGTTTCTGGGCTCTCCATTCTGTTCCAATGATTATGGTATGTATTGGTATGCACAGACCATCCTGTTTTTATTACAATAGTCTTCAAATGTAGTTTGAAATCAAAAAGTATAATGCCCCCTGGTTTGTTCTTATTCCTAAAACTGCCTTGGCTATTCAAAGCAAGTCTCTTGTAGTTTCATATAAATTTCAGGATTGCATATTCTATTAGTTTAAAAAATGTTACTGGAATTTTGATAGGGCATGTATTGAATTTATAGATTACTGTAAATAATTTGACACTTTAACAATATTTATCTTCTTAATCCATAAACATGAAATATTTTTGCATTTATTTATGTCATCTTCAATTTTTTTATTAATATCTTAAATATTTCAATATAAAGATTTTTCACCCTGGTTTAATATATTGCTAAGAAATTTATTATTAATGCTATTTCAATGAGATTATTATTTTTACTTTTTTATTTGGCAGTTTGTTGTTAGTGTATGGAAATGCAAATGATTTGTATGTTAATTTTATATTTCTCTAATTCACCAAGTATGTTTATTAGCTGAAAAAGTCTTTTGGTATACTGTTCATGGTTTTCTATGTGAAATATAATGCCATCTAAAAACTGACATTTTTACAGCTTTCCTTTCAATTTGGATGCCCTTTTTTCTCCTTTTTTTCCATTGAGACAAGGTCTCATTCTGCCACTCGGACTAGAGTGCAGTGGTGCAATCATGGATCACTGCAGCCTTAGCCCTTGGGCTCAAGCAGTTCTCTTATCTTAGCCTCCCAAGTATCTGACAGTATAGGTGTGCATTTTCCATATCTGGCTAATCGGTCCTCCCACCTCAGTCTCCCAAAGTGCTGGGATTACAGACATGAGCCACTGCATCTGGCTGGATGTCTTTTCAAAAATTTTCTTGCCTAATTATTCTGCCTAGGACTATCAGTACTATGTTAAAACAGAAGCATTAAAAATAGACATAATGTACCCCTGTATTGGTTTTTGTGCAACTGAAGGAGCAAACACCTCTTCTAATTTTATAGACTGGTTTCAGCAGGTAAGATCACCTTTTGATTGGCTAATAGGATCTCTTCTGGATTTGCAGCAGAGAGGGGTTGTACATAGGTCACATGGCTGTTTTTGGTCTGCATTGGAGTTTGTCTTTAGTGTGTAGTTACCCATAGCCTGGATAGTTGTTAATCTTGTCTTATTTCTTGGCAGACTGGACTGCTTTCAGGACTTTGATTTGCAGGGCCAGCGGCAGTTGGGTTGACATCTGGTGGACCTAATTTGAGGCGTGTGGATGAGCGTGAGCTTATTGAGTACCTGGCAGGATTTTTGTAGGTCACTCTGTGGGCTTCTAGGTGGGCAAAACTGGCCACAGAGTGTGGCTAAAAGTGCGGAAACTGAGTTACTGAATTGTTTCAGAGACCACAGTAAAAACCAAGGTCTGCAGGCCTACCGGTATAATTACAAATAGGCATCTTCCTCCAGATCTCCACATGTGCAGGTACCACTGCTAGACCATGGCTGGAAGGAGCTGGAGTTAATTACAGTCACTGCAGAATTTTAAGTGGCATCAAGATAGGTGAATCATTTATTGTTCTTTAGCCGAGATAAGGGTTCTCAAGTTTGCCACATGAATGAAGGTCTGCCTTCTCAAAATGACTCCAGTCAGCCTTTGGCTTTAGTGAGTTTTAAAAACACTCTACTTGCAAAACAAAATTATTATAAAGATCTCTTCTTCAAGAAGGGGGTCTCAGCATATTACCCAGGCTGATCTCAGACTGCTGGCTTGAAGTGATTCTTGTGCATCAGCCTACCAAGTTTCTAGGATTACAAGGGTGAACCACCATGTCTGCCAATATAATGCACTCCATGTAATATTTCCTATAAGACTTTTCTAGGGGTAATAAACACCTTTAGCTTTTTTAAATTATAGAATGTCTTTATTTATTTTTTCTTTTTCTTGAGATGGAGTCTCACACTGTTGCCCAGGCTGGAGTACAGTGGTGCAATCTTGGCTCACTGCAACCTCTGCCTCCCGGGTTTAAGCAATTTTCCTGCCTCATCATCCTGAGTAGCTGTGATTATAGGCATGCACCACCACGCCTGGCTAGTTTTTGTATTTTTGGTAGAGACGGTGTTTTACCATTTTGGTTAGGCTGGTCTCAAACTCCTGACCTTTTGATCTGCCCGCCTCGGCCTCCCAAAGTGCTGGGATTACAGGCATGAGCTGCAGTGCCCATTTTTTTTTGTTTGTTTTTTGTTTTTTCTTATTTTTAAAGTAAATTTCTCACTGATTAAGTATCTCTGGTTAGTAGTATTTTTTTCATCACTTTGAAATTGGGACATTCTTAGTGAGTCTCTTTTTCTCTTCAGGTAATATCTCTACTACTTTTCGCTTCCTTCTTCAAAGACATTTTTAATGAAAATATTGGTCTACTTGAGAAAATAAACAAAAAAAAAGAAAAAGGGGAAAAAAAAAAAAAAGCAAATATTGGTCTACTCGATAGTATCCAGTAAGTTTCATATTCCATGTTCAGGTTTCTCAAATTTTTGTTTTTTTTTAATGCCTCAACATAAATAATATTTCTTTAGTTTTCTGATTTACTTTTTCTGGTTTTTTAAGCCTGTTGTTTTCTCTAGTAATCTTTTCATCAATTGCATTTTTTCAGTTTCACAATTTCTACTG